ACCCAGCCCCGCACTCCCAGGCACCGACCGACCGGCCTGCGCCCCGACCTACCTCTGCAGAGCTGCGCTGCGGGGCTCCGGCCGCTGCTCCCGGGCTGTCCCCTCCCCACTGCCCAGCTAGCGCCCGTGGCCGCGCCGCACAAGGCCAGCAGCGTGGCGCGGGTCCATCCTCCGGCATAGTGGAGACAATGGTGAGGAGGCGAGGGACGTGACAGAAAACGGTGGGAACTAAAGGCCGCTCACGCTCAGCGTGTTCTGAGGAGCCCTGATGAAGCAGGTCTCCCTCCACTTGCCCTTTCAGCTCAGTCATTCCTCCTCCACTCCCACAGGCTCAGCATTGTCCCCTCATCCTCTGTCTACACTGACTGTTGGGGGCGGCTGCGGGTCCGATTCCCCACGGCCCTGACCCTTGCAGCCTTTGTCATTTGCTCAAGGTGGATGGCCAAATCACGCGCTCCCAAGCGCTTCCAAAGGCAGCATTTTACTCCGCAGAAGTGGAGTGACTACAGGAGGTGCGCGGGGGAATAACAACTGGAGGACTGATAATGCTTTTGTTGCAGATGGAATTTTTGCAGAGCGCCTTGCATAAGAAAGCTACATCATATGCAAAGTTCTGTAATTAGGAATAGGTAACTCATGATACAAATGACCGACTTGCACTAATTTTTTAATATAAAGAGTCCAGTGGTACTTTAAAGACAAATACGTTTATTAGGGTATTAGACCAAAAGCTTTGCTTGTGGCCTAATAAATTCATTAGTGTTTAAAGTGCCACCAGACTCCTTGTTTTTGTACAAACAGACTTACACAGCTACTTCTTTTAAACTAATTTTTATGAATCATGGTTCTCGGGGCAAGATGCACACTGAATTGCACTGAGAGAATATTTTTTTCGGTTAATTTATTACATTTGCCCTCTCTTAATATTGTCATTCTTTTTGTATCTCTGTTGATGCAGAAAAGGAACAGAAAGCCAGCTGTTCAATTTCTTGCTTGGAGTCCAGGAAGTATATTAAGTATTGTAGAGTTAGTTTGTGATAAAGTGATCTACATATATTTGTCACCCATTACACCAATTCCACCTCAGTGAAAGGTGTAGTGCTTAAATCAACGTAATAGTGTTGACTGCTCTCATGATTTCGCCATGAAGCTTAAGATAATTAGTTTTCCTTAAAACTCCTGGAATATGATGATTTCAGCCTTAATTTTTAAAGAAAAAATAAGTTTCTAGCCTTAATGGCAATAGAGAAAATGTGGAAATATGACTCAGCACACCCTAAAGGCAGATAAAAAGAACAAATATACTATTTTTAAAAGCTCAGGAACTCTGACTCAAAGATCATACTCTCCCTACCTTCTTTCTGGTACTACACTAGAAGGCCATATTACCTGTTTCTATTCCACTAGCCAAGATTTCATTAAGGGCATGCAAACTACACTAACAAACTTATAATGGCCCTGCTGTACCAATACAGCTGTGGACAGGCATAAGGATCTTGCGCAAAAAGGAAACGTCCACACTGCTTGTTTTTGCACAAAAACCCTTGCACAAAAATGGACCGGAAGAGATTATGCAAATGAAGTGCTAGAAAATGCTAATCCATGCTTCATTTGCATTGCCTCTTTCATCAAAGCATGTAGTATAGACAAAGTCATGGGGGTTGTAGACCTGGTCTGCCATTGTCACTGCCAGCAGAAATGGTGAGTGAATTTAAATATGAAGCTGCCAACAATAAACTTAATTATTCCCTTGCAAGAAGAGTGTTTGGACAGTCTATTGGTGTACTGCAGTTTCCCCTTTCATTGCAGCACTCTTAGATCAATCCATTAAGCCCTTACCCCTGCTCCCTGCAGGTAGATTTTTGAAAAAGACTGCATCTTTTCCCCAGTGAAAGAATTGAGCTTGTCTATAAGACAAATACAACCATATTAGGGACAGCAGTTATCCTCAACTTGATTACAATATGATTTTATTTTGAAGTGTTCAGTGGACCTTAGCAATATTTTCTAATCAGTATTGAAGGCTTTGCAGCAAGCAGGACTGACGGCTAATCCCAAAAAGTGTCAGTTTGGGAAGTCAGAAGTCTCGTACCTGGGGTATACGGTAGGACGTGGGAAACTCAAACCCCTGATCGATAAAGTCCAAGCCGTTCGCCACTACCCCACTCCAACTAGAAAACGGAAGGTACGTCAATTCCTGGGGTTAGCGGGATATTACAGGAGGTTCATAGCGAACTTCTCGTCATTAGCAGCCCCACTCACAGATTTAACAAAGAAAGGACAACCCGAGAGGGTGACATGGACGGTGCAATATGACACGGCGTTCCGAGAGCTTAAAGAGAGATTGGTACGGGCCCCTGTACTGATTCAACCAGACTTCTCGAAGCCCTTCACCCTACAAACAGATGCTTCTGAGGTGGGGTTGGGAGCCGGGCTTACTCAAGAGGAGGAAGGCAGGGAACATCCCATCCTATACCTAAGCCGTAAGCTCTTTCCCCGGGAGAAGGGGTATGCAACAAGCGAGGAGGCCCTAGCTTTAAAATGGGCCATTGACTCATTACGCTATTTTCTTTTAGGAGACAAATTTACCGTGGTAACGGACCATGCCCCCCTGAAATGGATGCAATGCATAAAGGACACAAACCCACGGATTTTGCGCTGGTACCTCAGCTTACAACCCTATCAGTTCCAAGTAATGCACGGGGCAGGGGCTGCGAACAGGAATGCGGACTGTTTGTCCCGCATAACCGAGACTCAGGGGGAGGTACCGGCAGGTATGTCAAGGGATTTGAGGGAGAAGGTGTGTGGTGGGTCGGACCCGCCCCCTCCGGAAGCCGCCGGGCCCGCGCTGAGCCCAGCGGACGGCGGCAGTGCGGCGCGAGGGCAAAGCGCCGTGAAGAACCCCGGGCGGACAGCAACGGGGCCTACAATGGGCGGGCGGAGAGGCAGCAACGGGCCGGCTGGGGGACGGCCGGGGGGGGCGCGCCCCGGGCCGACGGGGCCCACAATGGGCGGACGGGCAGAGAGGCAGCAACGGGCCAGCCGGGAAATGGCCGGCATGACGTCACTTGTGACGTCATCCCCCCGCAACCCGGAAGTAACGATGGGAAATGGCGTCAGGGGGGACGCCATCAGGGAAGGAGGTTTAAAAGAAGAGGCTGGGCCGGGAGAAAGGGAGGACTCCCGGGGGTGCGGGAAATGGAGCCGGCAGCCTGCGGAGACCATCGGGATTTGGAGGCCTTGGGGTGAGGTATAACCCCAAGGACCACAGCCTACACGAGCACCCATGTGGGGGAAGAAGCAGCCCAGGACGGGGGAGTGGACCCCGAGAGCGGGGGAGTTTAGGGGTTTTCCAACTCCCTCCGCTAGGCCGGACTTAGATCCAGGCCTTGGGTCGGGGTTTGGAGCAAGGGCGGGCCCGAACCCCCTTCCCCTCCCCCCCAGTGGGCCGTCATACCAGTCGGCGTTAATTCGGGCGGGGAATAGTTCGCCCCGGCGCATCGATAGCAAGACCTAAGGGTAATAAACTTATAGATACTAACCAGACTAAGTGGGTTTGTTGAAGGGAACCCGGGAGGGGAGCACTCAGGGACAAGGGGAGTCCCTTACAATTACATTCACACACGGGCATGTGCGTGCATGTGCACACTATGAAAACTTTAAAAATAATTTCAGTAGCCACAGGTATAGTTTGCTAGAGATTTTTTTATACTATAAAATAAATGATTTCCTTTGAAGGAAAGATTCTCTAAATCAGTAAATTGGCACAATCTATGTAGGAGTAGTATTCTCCAAAGGACTTTCATATTGGGTATTCCCCCTGGTATATTTTTATCAAAGTAGGATCTTTTTGAAGAAACTTTAAATGTAGTCTCAGTGTTGTATCAGAACATAGTGTAAGATGAATTTCAGTTTCCTGTGGGAAGAAACTACTTTCAACCAGCAGAATTTCATCTAGCTTTGTCCCCTATGGTGTATTTCAGAGTGTGATAGATTAATGTATGTCTACATCAAACTCATTTTTTGTGAGCGCCATTTTGATTTCAGGAATATTCTGTGCCTATATTTTTCCTTTTACCCTTTATCCTCAGGGGTTTAGAGGAGGAGAAGGACCTCGGAGTCCCTTGAACAGCTTAATGGGAGTAAATCGGGGGGCCCAGATAATCTTCATCCAAGAATATTAAAGGAACTGGCACATGAACTTGCAAGTCCATTAGCAAAAATTTGTAATAAATCTCTAACTCAGGGGTTTAGAGGAGGAGA